ATCAGTCGAGTTCCTCCCGGCGTGCTCTTAAAGGGCGATTAGGTCCGCTTGATTTTTGAAGAATCTCACGGGTTTTCACGCGACTGAGCCCCGATCGTATTGCGTTCAACCTCAAACAGGACGACAAAAAGCCTCGCGACACTGGCTCCCCTTCGCGATCGATCGCTCGATACGTCTTTTCACTGACAAACCCAGGGGCCGATCGTTTGATCTTCGTGCGACCGTGTGTCATGTACGAATGTCACGAGCGCTCGAGTCCTTCCGAGCAAGATGTCGGGACGGGGTTAAAAATAGAAAATAACGAGCACTCCTCCTCGCCAACTTGATTCCGAGTCATGTGTATTAACACCGAGCCATTCTCATGGATTTCGGCCATGCAGCACAATTAGCGATAACAAAAAACTCAGAAGTGTCACTCTGGACCCTCATTACTGGAGACTACCATCAATCAGACTGGAAAAAAATTCCATTTCCTGTCGAAACGGTACCCGACGTAGAAAAACGTCCCAAACAAAACTTCTCCATCATCTTGCGGGGGACAACTTTTGTTTGAACCATATTTACATATCGTCAGTGGTTTCGGCAGAATTCCCACCCATTGGTGGGTGCTCCGACTGACAGTGTCCCATCAGCTTCTCATCAGCAGTGCCCAAGTAAATGGAATTCTATTAACTTTCCAGCATGATAGGGACTCATTGAATGTTAAACCGAGAAGAAATGCAAACGCAAATGGCGTATACCGGATTTACGAGTCAAAGGTCTTACATCAGAAGGTGGCCGTGTCCAGGTGTGAATTTGGTACGGTTTGCAGGAATTACGGTAAGCCAGGTTTGCGTTGGCTAAACGACGGCAAACAAGGAGTAGAATCCGCCTGAAGTGGTCTTGCCGTAATTAGGACGGACGTTTAGTTAAACCATAGCACGTGCCGGAACCCCAGGGGTATAAACGCGCTCCAAAGAGCATAAGAGCACTGTGTGCTCTCGGAGGGACGCACATAATGCCCGGAGCCGTATACTTCTCGCTTATTACTTCGAGCACTCGTCTCCTGCTTTTTACGTCGGCAACATCGCCGTATTGTCGGCCGACGACGTCGTCGGCGTCCTCGACGTATTCCAAGGAAGTTTTCCTCGACTCCGGACTCGCGCAGCGTCAACAGGGCTCTTGCAGGGGGTCCCTTGCACTGTAAAGAACGCCACACCATGGAGACGTTTTATGGGAAAATCGATACAATCGGTCCCGAATGCGCTCCACCATCCTGAGATACGCCATGGATATTATAAATAAATTTTCGGGCCTTTAACCAAAAATCCTTGGCCAAGTCAGTAAAATTTCTGTTTTTTCAACCGTATGGACAACTAAACGTGTTTCCGTGACAGAGGGAATTTTTATCGCATTCACGGGGGTTAATTGCGTTAACTGGCAGGCATCTAATGCTAATTAATTCGCAGCAACGCGATTCCCTCTGAGCGCGTATGACTTTTTTTTTTAACACCGCGGTACTCGCTTTCGGCATGAGGGAACAAGGTGTAGAACATTAATCACACCTTCAGGGCGAGAATTTTCCGCCTGGTCTGCTCGAATGACTGTCGGCATCGTATATATATATTTTTTTTTTCAGGGGCTTGGCGCCCTTACGGGAAAGGGTGGCGAGATGAATTGCAGGCCCTCGCAATTTGCAGGCATAGTGTTTCTCGACGACCAATCGGAGAGGGCTGGAGCACTCAGGCAAATTGAACTTAAGGAATTGAATCCCGTAAGACCTCTAACGCTTAAACGCGCGTCATCGATAAAACGAAGAGGACCGAAGGGCGATTAAGTGCGTACGCTTATGCGTACTCGCGTACTTACGATCGCCGATTACCTCTAAGACTTTACGACTGGATAGTTTCATAAAACCCCACCGAGTTTCCGGATTAAAGCTGGATTCGAGGGAGCTCTCTCAAGGGGAAAGATAAATCGCCATCTCCAAACTCTAGATTTGTTTCTCCATTGTACAACGTCGAATTTCATCCCACCCTATGTTGGAAAAATTGGGGTCCCCTTTCTTCGCACCCTTAAATCGGTTTTAGTACCGAATCCGCGACCTCTTCTTTCGACATCTTAGGCATCGACCTTTCACCTGACGAAAAGAACACGCACCCTTAAATCGAGCCTCAAGGAAGCCTTGAGGGTTGTTCCAATCTGCCTTCCGGTCGCAAAAGTCGGGGTTGGTGAGCTCCGAATCCGCCTAACGTATGTTTGATGTTAAAAATCAGGACATTTTGAAGTACGCTCTTAAGGGTCTGTTATCGATAAAGGGTCGCCTTGAAAATATACAGGCGATTATTTAGTGCACCCTCCATTTCCTTTGACAAGCTGCCAAGTATCAGAATCCCAAATGGAGCGCGAACCACCCTTAAAGATATATTCTCAGCAATCTACCACCTCGCGACAGGATTATCAATTTTTATTATCAACGCAGAACAATTCCGTCGATTGCGATAAATCCGTGAAATTTAATTGAAGTTCCCATAAAAGCCTCTTAGGATCCCTGTATTTTTTTTTTAAGAGAGAGAGGGAGAGATCGTTCCTTCGAGGGGGTGGAAAGTCAATGCCCGGAGGTGTGGAAAGAAGTGGCCTAAGTCCAGCAACCCCTAGAAGTGGCTCGAGGCCAGCGTGAGATTTACACTTAGCGAGTTATCGAGTGGCTCGCCCCACGGAGGGTGCACCGTGTCGATGCGCCGACCCCTCGGCGGCATTCATCCCCTGCCGAGGGTGAGTCGAGCGAAACAAAACATATTGTCCGAATTTAATTGCGAAGGGGGACATTAGATATTCATACGTTGCGGGCTCCATGATGCGTCTAACGATATCGGGCCCCCTCCGACATACCCGGGGGCTCCCTCCTAAGTAGAGCTGCCAACTTTTCCGGCAAACGCGCTAAACAACAATACAGGGGCTACTCCGCGGATTACTGTTCAACGTCTCATTCACGAGAAGCCATCGACACTGCACGCAAACAAAGGGAACTCAAAATTAAAATGCAGAGTATAACTACAGAAATGAAATTCCAAACTGCACGTAGAGCCGCGGAACCATTTTAATTGAATTCATATGATATACTTATCTAAAATGTAAATTGCCATTTTCTAGTTTAAATGAGAAACAAAAGAACTACTTTGAATTTCCCATTGTAAATCGCGAGCAAGCCTGGTCGGAAGAAAACTTCGCTCCGACCTCCCTCGAATCCCGGAGGTTCTATGGACGAGTGCTCATTATGTCTTATAATAATTCCGTCTTTGCCGTTTCGGAGGCAATGGGGAGCAATAAGCAATCGTCGATTTAACGAGGAGGATCGAGCGCGCGATAATCCCGGGTTAAAAAGGTGCGGGGACCAGCGACTCGGTCCGTGGAAAAACAAGGGGTAGTTCCGTCGGAGACGGGGTTGGTCCCGGGCGTCGGAGCGGGAGGAATCGACGCCGACGCAGTCGTCCCCTCCGGTAATTGGCATCGCATTAACGGCGAATAAAGCGATCGCATTGGGCGAGCTCGTGCGAGCGAAAGACGAGGAGGAGAACGCCTGGCCGGTTCAGGATCGTTGCCGACGCCTCGTAAACCCCGATCAACGCCCGGCTGCGTTGCCTACGAATTGTCGCCCCTTACGGGCTCGCGATTCGATTTCGGTTCCGTCTTTCCACCAGGGAGAGACATTATGCAGAGTATGCCAGTGGAAGCGTCACCACAATATAATGATTAAATATTTATAAATATTTTCAGGTTTTAATACACACAGAACGACTTTCATAACTCCTTAAAGCAGGGTCTACAAATCCATTGAGGAACGATGCTCTCTCCCACCGCGTTTCCCTGAAAGAATATCAATTTTAGAGTAGAAGTGAAAATACCTTCGGTATTTTTTTTATGGTAAAACGTAAATATAATATAACTTAAATATGTAAAATATAACCTGGGCGCCCTTCTAAGTCCGCAGGGAAGGAAGAAAGGGTAGGGGAATAAGGTTAGAAATTCCGTTAAGGAAGAAAATAACCCCCGGGATCGACGAAGAAACGTGGATAAGACCTCGCCTATTACGTATTTCCTAGGAGGGAGTCGTAGAAAAGAACGAGAGAGTTCCAGGTCGTAGTGGAGCAATCCGGCGGGGCGGGTCGCGCGACACCGCGACACCTGCGAGGGCACAATGCGGAGTGCGGGGGCGAAAGAGGGAATGAAACGAGAAAGTTCGGGAGAGGGGGGAGTCGTGGAGGCGGTCGAAGGAGCCCCCGTCGGGAGGAGGAGGGCGCAGCTTGGAAAAGTCACTTATTTCCGTTCCGGGAACCATTCTCTAGCCGGTGATACCATCGCCTTCTGGTCGCGTCCACCCACTGCGCCCCCACCTGGCGGCGAACTGGCAAGGCAACGGTGCGGTGGTTCGCTCGGCAGTCACCGGTGTCGCCACTGCTCGCACCTCAGAGTGCGCGTATCTCTGTCCTTCTCTTTGGGTTCCTCCTCCCAGGAAAATAAACGCTAACGTGGGCTTAGGAGGTTACATTATATTAACCATAAAGTGGATTTAAATGGTCACTGGTCAATGGTTCCATAGTAAAAGATCAAACCGAGAATTCTACCGGAGATAAATCTCAGCAATCGAACCGATCACCCCGTTCTCGATCCTCGCCATCGGAACCCGAATTCCGCGAACCCGCGGAATTCCAGCTGAGTTTCCCACCTCGCGAAGTGGAGCTCGCCTCTCCCACCACGTACTCCGTGGCCGCGTCTTGAGTCCCACCTCCGGCACATGCGCGCGCCCGCAAGACGGCGCGCGCTCATTGTCCTCCGCCGGCCGCGGGCTCGTTACCGTTGGATCGCGCGCCGGCCAATCGGGAGGCTCGGCGGCGGCGGCCGACCAGTCGGGCCACGCCCACCGCGCGCGGTGGTGGGGCAGGCGGCCGGGGGGCTCGCGCTGCCGCGCTCCGACCGCTCGGCGCACTCGGAAACTCATCGGCCCGAGAGCGCTTTCTCACCGCGACTTTTAGGTTAGATTTCCCTCCGCGCCGCCCGCAGTGCCCCGAAACGACTCGCCTCTTACGATCTCACGTTCCGAGGTATGACGCGCTGTTCCCGGCGACCGGAGTGACCTCTCACCCGGATTGTGATATCTCGCGGTGTGACAGTGCGACGGACCTGGTCCTTCCTCTAGTGCAGTGAGCACGCGGCTTGACGCGGTTTGAGGTTAGGGGCCCCTGCCGCGGCAGGGACCGCCAAGGAGGACTACTTCCAGATCACCGCAGGAGAGACGCGAGTCTCAACCACGGCACCAAAATTGACCTGGACTTGCACCAACGCGCCGCCGGCCACTTTATGAGGTTAGTTTAACCTGCCCCCTCCTAAGCCTCGAATTATTAACCTTTACGTTTATTCTCGGTATATACGGACTCGACTGCGCTTCCGAAAATCACCGTAAACGTATTTTCCCTAGTGCGCAGAAAAAATTATTCCATGAGGGGATTTTCAAATTCACTCGAGATAACCTCAAAATTTATTTACCGTTGTTAAATTCTCGCAAGAGTTGTATATTAAGTCGCGGGATAATTTGCGTGTTATTTTTTCGGGAATGGAATGTAAATGTGGCTGCCGTGGATACTCTAGATTTAAAATTCCTTCTTGGAAACGGTTCGTAAAGGCTGATGTAATTTGCGACTTTGTTGCGTTCTACGTCTTAGATTCGTTTGAAGATCCGATCAGTTAATCCTTTGTCGTAATATCTGGAACGTGAAATCAAGAGCACAGTTTCTGGGAATATCATTGAGCATGCATGAAACGAATTTCCGACATTTCTTCTAACGTATTCCATCGGAGCAATGGATATTTATTTAAGTGAGCCAATTTTTTTTTTTGTTTTTCCCCTGAATGTAGGCGACACATTTTTCCGCACACATCGGAGGACGCATTCTTACCCACACATTAGGCGACACATTCTCACGGCACGCATTATGCGATACATTGTTATGTCTTTACGCAGTCGGCGCAAGTACGTAATTAGCACTTTTCGATTCGACTCGTCCGCAAATAGCCCTTTCCTTTCCCCCCCGTGGTTTTGCTCGGATGCCTGCTTTGTTTACAAATCCCAAGGGACGGACGCCGCCGGTCGACGATCCGCAAACCGAGACGCCGACGTCCCGGCGGGCGTCGCGCGGCGAGAAATCTCGGCGGTTATCAGAACGGCTTATCAGAACGTGCGCGGCAGATACAATAGCACATAGGTCTCCCCTGTAATTATTGTATTTATTGTATTTTAAGAGTGGTCAATTAAATTCCCCCGCACACCTTTTGAGGCCCCCGTCCACCATAGACTCGACTAACCGGCGTCTTATCAACCTACGGGGAGATAAATTATCACCTGGAGGATAGTCGAACCCGGAAGATAATAGGATCGACGTGAAGGATTTTTTTTTGCAATTATGTCGAATTATGATCCGACCGACGGCAACTTGTAAATCGTATTTTTGCCTCGCGAGGTATCGTCCTCTTGGATTATCGACCATTTTCCATTGTGCACCACCGTGTTTAAGATTAATGATTTTTTGCCATTTTAATGGGAAAACGTCGATCGATTAATTACTTCGTTGTCAGTCCTTGGACTTTGACGAGGATATTCGGGATTCGAAGTCGACGAGGACGAGGCTTAATTTCGAGGCTCTATCGACGATTTCTGATAGCTTTGAACCCTTCGGCATGTCAATGGGAATTTCTGCGGCTCCTCTGTCGTTTCCTCCCCTTTCGCGATTTCCATTTCTATGCGTTTTCCCCCTTTCCTTAAGTCACTCCTCGTCGGGGGTCCGTTTTACCTCGTGCGAGTCCTTCCTAAATAGGAGAGCTAATGAAAATCATTAGGGCGATCTCGCCCTAATGTCGCCATTAATTTCTACAGTACAAAAGTCCACGATCAAATACGAACGTCAATGGTTATTTTCTTCTTAAGAAAATAATTCATTATGTATGATTCAGGCAACAATACACATGTCAATAAGTGCATGCTACCTCCGAAAGTCAGGGGGGGGAGAGGAGGGGCTCGCACTCGCGCGGGTCATCATTCGCCTCGCGACCGCCGGACCGCGCGGATCGGGAGCGCGAGATGCGCGGCTAGAGGGTAATAAATCGCGGGGGGGAAGGAAAGAGAGACGTAGAGATATAGCCCCGACGATTCGGGGGCAAACATTCAATTAGCACCTCCTAATCCTCCCTCGACAGGGCCGGCCTCCCCCCCCGTTGTCAACAGCCATTACTTCCAGCATCTTCCACGGGAACGGTTCCCCAGGTCCCCCGGGCGCTCTTTCTCGTCCCTTCCCCTACTCTTGCCGGTTCCTTAACCCCCGCGCACAGTATACACGTGTATATACGGATGTGTGTGGACGTGTATACGTGTGTATACGTATCTATTAATCCTCGGTGAATGACACTCGAGGGTGGAGGCTCTCTCCCGAGGGCGAGTCTAACCCTACAAAATCGTAACTACCACCTCGAGGGGGACTCCCTCGACCACTACAGGTTTTTTTTTTTTTTTTTTAACGAATCCTCAAGGAGATATCCCCGGTAATTGTGTTAGTTGGAGTGCCGGAGGCCTTGCGCAACGCCTCCACCGTCGTCACCCTCTAGGGGCGCTTTTCTCTCCTGAGGGGGAGAGAGGGGGCACGCACCCTGAGATTGGTTAATGGCTTTGATACGAGGAAAGGATTTGATTAATTTGCTTATGAAGCGGGCAACCGCGAAACGGGGCTGGGGGAGATTTTTTTCATTCACCGGGTTCCTCAGCCGTCCTTTTGATCGGGGGGGTCCCGAAATTCAAACGGGGGTCTTGAGCTTCTCTCGCCCTTCGCTTTTAGCGGTGCTTTAGCGTTTCAAATTGCAATTTTGGATTTAATGGTCATGAAGGGCGGTTCTATCTTGATTTTTATTTTTATTTTTTTTTATCTGCGAGGGAGGTTAGAGGGCTCTCGTTTTTTACTTTCTTTATTAGCATTGTCTCTGGTAGTCGTTGAAGCGCATTAACGCGGATATATGCAACGATCAGTCGTAGCGATTTATATCGCGTGCAATTAAATCGAGGTCTGTACATTTGTACATTGTCTTTCGTTCGTCGATGGTGGAAAAATTGTGCACCCGATTTTCCTGGGAAAAAAAAATATATATATTTCGTTCTTGTTTTCACGTCACGATTTGGGGAGTAATTGTCGGTTGGTGTTTTTTTTTTAGAGCCGGCGGCAACATGTGCGACGGCGCCTTCACGGAGACGCTGCGCGGCATGCAGGGTATGTCGGGGGCGTCGCCGCCTGGCGGCGCCGGCGTCGGCCCCATGGGCGTCGGCCTGGGCAGCCCTCTGGGGGCCGCCAAGAAGATGCAGGTGGACCACATCAAGCGGCCCATGAACGCCTTCATGGTGTGGTCGCGACTGCAGCGCCGGAAAATCGCCCACGAGAACCCCAAGATGCACAACAGCGAGATCTCAAAGAGGCTCGGTGAGTTTTCTCCCCTTTACATATGTATGCATATATTACCGTATCTCCGTATGAAATTCTTAAACTGGTTGCCGCAAACTTCTATCGCGTATCGTTATGGACGTGATTCACGTCAGCGGTAGTCAGGAGTAGAATTTAAAAGGACGTGAATTCACGTCAGCGGCAACCAGGGATGTGTTAATTTTCTCGTCGAATCGTGGAGAGCGGGAGGATGATAAACTCGTATAAAAGAGAGGGATGTGCGGATGTATTTGTGGGTGGGTATTCTTTCGGCGGTGGACACGCGATTACGGGTGGTTGGTCGGATTTTTATCCCCGGAATCGGTCGCCAGGGCGATGCACACGGCGCTAAGGTATTTCCGCGTCCTCCTTTGGTATTTCCTTAAATGGCCGAGGGAAATCCGCGGGGATTTTCTCCGCTCGGCGTTCCCTTTGTGACCCGTCGGTTTCTCGCCTTATTTTCCCTCCCCCCCCAGCTTCCTTTGCTTCCGTCCCCGTAGACGGCGAATAAGGGACGCGCCTTCCGCACATGCGCAGACCGATATCTCCGCCCTCTCGGCTCGCTCCGGTTCCGCGGCTTCCTCTTGTCTCTTATTCGCATATGGCTTCCGGTCGCTTCGATCGTACCGATTGTCAATGAGGGGAATTATTTTTTTTTTTCACTCGGTGACCGAGGCGTCAAAAATTGGCATCTAATTATCCGCGACGGTCGGGTACGTTGACGTTCATTCGAGTCGGGGGAAATTTTCATTTTACCGATTCTCGATTACCGGAATGATTTCCAGGAATCGATTGGTTCATGACGGGATATTTCTGGGGGCTGGGGAAATTGTCTTTTGGCCTTTGACGTTGACACGGTCCTTGGGGAGAATTTGTGAAAACGGGACCATGGGTAATCTAGCGGGCGAAATTCCTGGACAGTTAGGGACGTGCACTTCCTCGTGGTCGGAGCCAATTTCACGTTCTAACCTTCGGCAGGACCCTACATCCTTCGCAGAAAAACCCAGGACGACGACCTTGCCCCCGTGATTTGTGGGTCGGCGTAATAGCAGGGGCAATCCCGAGGGGCCTCCTCGGTTATAAATTCGTCCTAACGGTGTCGGGTGGTGACTTTTCCGAAGGAATTTCTTTCCTTTCCTTTCTTTTCTTTTTTTTTTCCCCAACGTCAACGGGGATGCCAGTTTTTGCTCGGGCGGAAACGTTGGCGATTTGAATACCGCCTTCTGGAGTGATCACCTCCAGTTTGCAGCGCTTTCCCCTTTGAAGGCTGGAGGTAAACACTTGGAGGAGGAAAAAAAAATGGGACGCCAAGGTTTGCCGAGAGAAAGGGAAAAAAAAATTAAAGGGTTGGCTTTGTACCGTGATTTGTTAGTTCTTATGGAGAGAAGGTAACGCCAAGGGCGGACCATCGGGTCGTAAATTGACCGTAATAGGGTGTACCCTCCAACCTTTGACTTGGAATTTTTTTTTTCCCCCCTTTAGCTCTCGTTTCGTTAAAGAATCGTTAGGAATAATGAAGAGTTCCGTTTGACGCTTAGGTTCGCTTCCGTTTGACGCTTAGGTAGGGAGTACTCGTCCAGGAAAAATTGTCTAAAAATTGTTTGCGGTTCAATTAGACCGAGATGCCGATCCCCGGGGGGTGGGTTTCGGTACTTATCCCCTGTGGTACCTTGCACGGTTTGTTGGTACCCCTGCAGAGATTCTCACCAGCATCCCGCTGAGAGGGAGGCGGTCAAGTTTAATCTGGTTATTGGTAGTCCCTGTTAACTGGCAGTGTTAAACGACTACCGCGATTACCGACCGCTTTTTCGTACCATTGCCCCTTTAACGGGGACACGACCCCTCTCGTTGCATTCATTTGAAACGAAGTTCACGGCCTCAACTAGGGAATTTCCCCATTTTTTGAGTGGCGCCAAAGAAGCTACCATTTTTTTTTTTTTTTTATTAGAATTTTCTCCCTAGCAGAAGTTCTATCGGACTTCTGGTTTCCGAGATATTCGACGACGAAGTCGACCAATCCACGTGAGGCACTTTTAGGGCCAGAAATGTCACCACCTGATTATCCTCGAATATCCCGGAAACTATCGATATGACAAAAATTTGCTAGAAAAAATTTCGCTCTTCAAAAAAAAAAATCATGGTTACTCGTGGGTTATTTGTTCTCCTTTTACGTTGAGATCGCTTGGAAGGGTGAAATGTTTTTCCACCTTTTGTTGTTGGTTTTGTTAGTACTCGGTCGCGCTAGTCTGCGGAATTGTGCCGTGCAATTTTGCTGGAGTGCTTTCAAATTAGAAGTCGTCCCGCCGCCGATTGTCGACCCGGCCAAAGTTGAATCTCGGTCGGAAGGCTGACTCGTTATGTGCGAATTATGGGCCACATTCAATATAAATTACGTGGCGCAATTAATTTGCAACTACTAAAACGTCTGGGATTTAAGCCCGCGTCCTTCCAATTACCTCTATGCTCGTTACACGTATAAATGCAATTTCCCCGCGCCGTGGAATATTTGAAAATGCCTCGAGAGCGCGGATTGCACGTCCAGTGCACCTAATCAGCAGAAGCTTTGAAAGTACTTAAAAAAAATATAAATAATTGACATTTGTCGATTTCTCGGGGATCCATTTTTTTTTTCCTCCCAAGTCTCGATACGTCGAAATCGCTCGGAGCGTCGCGACGCGGGGCGCAATTATTTCCTCGTGTTTAGTCGAGGACTTAGCTACATCCCCTGTCGAAAATACCCTCGCGCATTGTTAGGTGGCGGGAGGGAGAGGGAAGAGGACGCCGACGCCGACGCCGACGCCGACGCCATGGCGAGGCGGGCGCTCGAAGAAGAGACACCGAGCAGGAGGAAGGCAGAAGCTTTCATCGTAATGAAGTATTGTTGTCCTCTCGAAAGCTCGCGGCACTCAAACCGAAAGCCGGACGTCGGGATCTGAGATTTCGCGAATCCAAGTTCTCCGATAAAGGTCTCCTCGTCATTTCGATTAGTATAGGTTTAAGAGGAAAAAGTGTCGGATAAAAATTCTAGCTCGCGAGGGAATACATCTTTTATGTTCTATACACTTTTCCTCTAAAACCGTTGATTCTCGAGGAAGGGAAGAAATGAAATCTTGAAAATGGTGAGAATTGATATATGGCGCGCGGACCGCCGCGGTCTTAAACCCCCCGGATAAATCGCGATTACTTAACTAAAAATACCTGGAAAATTCATTACAAGTCCGCGAATATTTCGCTGGAAGTCACGATCACGTATTTCGGATACGTGGAGTCTGTCGGGGAACGTTTTCGTGAGACTTCTCGCCGAGAAAAGCGGAGGACGCGTGGGTCCGTGGAAATCCAAAATGGCGGCGGGGGCCGCGCGTAAAAGGGACGTAAAAGGCGCCGTAAACGGGGCACAAAGGGCTGCATGGTCGCGTAGGTGCGATCGCGAGAGGCTCCCCGAGTGTAGAGGAGAGAAAAAGAATATCTCTCTTTCCCTTCCCCCCGTACCCCGACAACGGCGCAGGGGGCGGCGACGTTCGCGCAGGACGATCGACGTCCACCTCCAACGGACGTTCTTCCCCGCGGCGCCTCCCGGGTGGAGGTAAAGGGGGGGGAAAACGTGTCTCTATGCTCGGGGCTGCATTGTCCGCGCGTAATAAAAAAACGAAAGGGAGAGGGGGGGAAAAAGAAAAGAAAGGGAACCGCCGTAAAGGCGTCGTCGGCCTCGGGTTTCGCGACGTCGCGAGAGCCCTCGAGAGATGGCGGCACTTCCGGTCCCCGGACGGGCGTGCACCTCGCACTTCCGGGGGTGCTTTTCTATTTGATATCTCATTTATGCATAAATCATAGCGAGGCGTCATTTCCTCGCCTTATGGGCGAATCAAGATTTAATTCTACCGCCCTCGGTGGGTCGCTTAAATGACAATAATTTCATTGAACAACCCGGGAATTTTTCAGGGGGGATTTTTTTTTCTCTTTTCGATTGTTACAAGTCATTCGTTTCCCCCCGGGGGTGGGGGGTCACTTCTTCCTGATTCTTGCGACGGAGGCGCCACCTCTCCGCCTCTCCCGCCATCCATTAATTAACAGGCTTTGTAGTTTTAAACGATGTTAAATAAACGGCATTGTGCGCCGGCGAAAGGACTGAAAAGCAGGCGGCATTGTGCTTTAAGCTCGGTTGGTCCCCGAAAGCCAGGAAAGAGGGGGTAGGAGGGAGGGAGGAAGTATTGCCCGGGAACGCACCTACTAATACCGCGAGCCAACGCCACACCGGCCCCCGGGGGCCATTGTTCTAAACAAATACGGACCTTTTCAGACGAGAAAACCTCCATCGATTGGATAAGCCCCGAATATAAATAGACGTCCCTTGTCGGGGGGGGATGACCGCCGATGGATTCCGCAGATCGATCGCGAACGCGACCCCCCGCGAAGGTGCACCTTCGCGGGGGCACGTGGTGACCCCCTCGAGATTTTAAAATAACTATAGGGAAATTTTTTTAATAAGTGAAATTCCACGGGGGTGTCAGGACCTTCAGAGCAGGTGCGTTCGCGTTGTAAAGTTAACTGGAAAATTATCGAGATGAATTTATTTTGGGGGGTGGTTCTCACCCTGTATTCCGTGTACATGTCGAGCAAGGAAACGGGCGATGTACACCTGGGATGTTTTCCTTGTCGGTGGGAAAGTAACGTCGAGTACGATCCCTTTCCCTCAAGGGGGGGTGTTTACCCCCGCCCACTGGGGGGTGGTTTTCGTCACGAAACTCGGAATGCGCGCATTGTCCGCCGTTTCGAGCCAACGCGGGGGGCGCGACTCTCGCGATTATTCTCCCTCGGCTACGAGGAGGAGCGAGGCCCGTTGCATTATGCCTCGCATTCCCCCGGACATTCCGCCGCGTTCTCTCCGCGCCCCGGTCCCGATATGTCCGAGATCTCGGGGGGTGTCACCGAAAAACCCGACGTGCCACCCCCTGGAGGGGGGTCATGTGATTTCATTTCGTAATGGGAAAGAGGTGATTACCCGATCCGAATTAAGACATTACCGACGAAGCGTCGCGACGTCGCGCGTCCGCGGTCTGGCCCCCACGGTGGGGTTGGGGGGCACGGGGGCACGGGGGGGGTGGAAAGTTGTCCGGCGGATTGTTTCCCCAAGAATTAATTACCAGTTGTTGCGAAACGCCGGACAAAGCGGGGGAGAGAGAGAGAGAGAGAAGCCCGGCATCCAGCGCCGCGACGGTGGCGCCACCGGCGGGCCGCGCGACCGCCACTCGTCCGGAGTGGAACGACACGGAACGGCACGGAACCGAGCGGAACGGGGCGGAACGGGACTGAGCGCGAACGCGGTGCTCCGGTGGCCCGGGAACAAAGGGGAACAGAGGTAACGCCGGCGGCGCCAACAATGCTCCGCCGAGACGCCGTCGAGGCGCGGAAGCGACCGTCTCTGGAATCAAACCACCCCCCGGAGTACTAGGGAATTTTCTAGGGAGGAAATCTCGCGAGCGAAAATGCCGTCCCCCCTTTTGGGGCAGTGCAAGATGACGCCCTGAGCGGCTAACCTCTTGATCCGCGACGCTGGATAGATGTTCCTTTTTTTTTTTTTAATTTTCTTTATCACTAACCTCTTAATGGCATCTTCATATTTGAAACGCAATCCACGGTGAATTACTTGGTTTACGTAAGGTAGGTCGGAAATCCTCGAAAAACGCGAGATTTGGGGAATTTGTTTGGGATCCAAGGTATATGGCGGCCGGCAGTCGAAAACGCGCTCGCCTCGTGGGGGGCATCTCGACGACTAAGGTCGACCCCTGCCTTTGCGTCCTCTCGAGGGGCACCCTCCGGTGCACGCGTTAGCCGTCGCTCTTCGCGTCGGTGAACGCCGCTCTCGATTCTGCACGACCGAGTCTCGCCGTAAAATGGCAATCGCGCGATATCTGCCGCGTCGTTGGAGACGACGGGGTGCACGGGTTCCTGGGGAAGATCGGCTTCCGAGACCGACCGCGACCTAACTATCGCCTGATTAAACGATCGCCACGGGATCGCGGAGGTTCGAACGCTCACCTTTTATTTTTCCTTCCCCCGAGGAGAGGAACCGCGGATTAATTAGTAACGAATCCTCCGGCAGCGTTGATCACTTTTGGGATTTTTATCTAGGTGATTATTTCGAAGGAGGAAACTCCGCGGCAATGTTTCTCTCGTTAATCCGTGGAAAGCATTCCGCGTAAATGTCCCCGGGAGGATTTAATTCCCCGCTGGGAGGAAAAGTGCCCCCGCTCGTCTCGTCCCATTTTGGAGGTTAGGATCTCGAGGGTCGCGTCCCTCCGCGTTTCCCGGGCCGGGCGTCTTTTCCGCGGGCATCGACTCGCGATTTACGTCCTCGTAGCCACTTGGACGTGGCGCGAGCACAATTACGACGAGTAACGAGACGGGGGAGACGTTTACAGCGAGAGGGGAAGGCATTTCGCATTTGCGGGAAGACTGCCGCGACAGTTGCCAGACGCGAGACCCGGGGTTTCTCTCTCTTTCTCTCTCCCTTCGTCCTCTTCCTCCGGGACGCGCTTCCCCCGGGAACGGTGAATGGGGGGCAGCATCCAGCGCGCAGCTGCACTCGATGGACCACGGGAGGAGGTGTGGTCCTCCTTCGATTGGCTCCCGACGTGGGAGTCTCGGCTCTTGGGGCTGTCTAACCCTCTACGGGAAAATGCCGGGGATTAATTTTCGGTCGGCTAATTGCAACTCGAGGACCGAGGCCGCCTTTCGACGGCCCTGATGCATTTATCTTCATGAACACTTGGGGGACCCGTCTCGAGGGCACCGGGGATTACTGACTGCTAGACTACCGAGGATCTTCTCTTTATACCAGAGCATGGCGTTCCCCTGCCCTGGGGTTCAGTCAACACCCGGTGATGCGACGTTCTAACCTGGTCACGCTCCATCGTATGCACTTTTGGCCAAATTAGAATGAATAGTTTTTTTTTTTTGGTTCACTTTGGGACGATTGCCCTGGTTTTTATCTCTCCTCACTTTACACCGAGCGTTGAAACGTGCGTTGAAACGACGCATCGCTAGGTGTTACCGATGCGGTACCCTCGTTTATGCGCATCGCAAGTGACGCAGGATTATCATCCTTGAGTAGGCTGGGCTAGATTCTTTTTTTTTTTTTTTTATTGACCTCGCCCGCGGATCTCGTTTGCGTTTCACTTTTTGTTTCATCCCCAGTGGTTTGACTCGCGGCCCGGTAATCCTTGACTCGCGTGTTACGTTGCAGGTGCCGAGTGGAAACTCCTTACCGAGGACGAGAAGCGTCCCTTCATCGACGAGGCAAAGAGATTACGAGCCATGCATATGAAGGAACATCCGGATTACAAGTACAGGCCTAGAAGAAAGCCGAAGACGCTCCGGAAGGAGGGATACCCGTACAGCATCCCGTACCCCAGCGTCCCCATGGACGCCCTTCGAGCCGGTGAGTTTGCGCCGTCAGTGATTAATAAATCAACGGACAAGTCGATAGATAAATGCATCTGGGATCTCCTGGGACCCTAAGACCAGTCGCGAGCTGCATTTCGTGCAGTCGGGGATCGTAGGCGACGATAAGTCGGCGTCGATCTTGGGCTCCAGCGCCACGTGGGTGTGGACGCTGCTGATCCCTTCTTCCTTGATCTGGTCGCGAAGCGGATTGAGATTCTATACCGTGGTGGGTTTCTAACTCTCGAACTAGAGCCTCTAACTCTCGAGGAATGAGTCTTCCGATTCGAGACGGCACCCTAGATATATCGACAGCGATCGATAGACGTCGGGCCGGGAATTTAGACAACTCTTGTCGCGGATGAAACTCGCCAGGGCGGATACCGTTTACGACCGTGTGTAAGCTAAACCTCCCTGAAAGGAAGGAGAGAAAGGGAAGGAAGAAAAAAGGGGAATCCCGCGCTGGCTCGCTCGCTGCCGCCCACGCCAGGGTCGATAAATCGGAGATCACGAGTAATCCGCGAGTTATCTCGGGAGGATAAGTGTCGTCCCTTAATCCGGGGTAGGATATTAACGCGCCTGGGTCCGCGTTTCCAGCAGAAGGAACCCCCGCGACAGGGCACTCGTTTAACGCGAAATAACGCCGCTGTATTCGGCATCTCTCGGGATAGAGGAAGAGGGGGAATGGCACATCCCGGGGGGGGGGGGGGAGTTGTTCGCAAAAGCAGCGGGCAAATCGCCGGACACCTTAAGCCGGTACAAAGTTGCAAATCCCCCCGATAATGCCGTCGTTGTTGCCGGCTCGGGGAGAGCTCGGTTTTACTACCCCGTTTCCAGGAGGCGGGTGTACGTAAAGTGTGGCTTAAAGGTGTGGCACTCCGCCCAATTGGATGCCGCCGTTTCCCGGGATAAGCCCTGTTTATAGGCAGGAAACGTGGATCTTCGCGATGGACCATTGGTCGGACCCCGGATGTGGGGATGAAGGGAAAAGGGACTCCGCCATCTTGGAGGGATGATGGGGTTGAGTGGGGTCAGGCTCCTCGATTTTAAGAGGGTCGGGACGAAGAGTGACCACTTAGATGATGGTTCGTTTGGTCGGTCGGAATGGTCACCTATGGATTGTCATGTGCAAAATGGTCACCTATGGATTGTGATGTGCAAAATGGTCACCTATGGATGGCGATTAGCAAAATGATCGCCTATCGATACACGCGATGAAAATCATCTACGGATGAATGGGGCGGAAAATGATCATATATTAATGGTACAGGGTAAAATCGGTTAATCGATGGTTAAACGCCCGCGAGGAGTTTCGACGACGTCCCAGGACGACTCCTCGGGACTCGCCGACGTCGCGGCGACGAGCCGGGAAAATGCCGGGGACTGGAGGGGAAAAACCGAGTGGCCGCTCGCGTGAAAAAGACCTCAACGAGCTCGACGTGTAGCACACGCGAGGAGAGAGGGGACGGGGAGGGAAAAGTTTGAAAAGGCCCCGCTCGGCCGATGTCACTTCGGACTGCCCGAGGCACTTCGCTTTCAGAGATACCGGGAGATAGAGAGGGTCAAGTGGCACCCGATACGCACGCCGAAGGACTCCCTTTGACAGGTGAATTTTCCATTCGATCGAGCTGCCAAAGGGTGAACGGGCACCCACCGCGTGTCCTATACTCGACTGTTCACCAACAGCCGCGACATCCGCTAACGGCGGGAAATTTCAAATTCTCCACGGTCAGCTGTATTAATTTTAGGACCCGATAGGACCTTTGGAAAATCAAGTTAGGGGGGTTCGTCGAGTCCCGAGGACCCCGGGTGCGTATAGAACCCTCGAGTCGCGCAGAATGTTCTTGGCGCGGGTCACGCGACTCTTCCGTCGCGCTTCTCTTTGCGAAATAACGTCTCCTCGGTGCGTCGCGACGCGTCGGGCCGGACACGATAAGTCTTGGCCGCACAATCGTGGGGGCCGACTTCCTGCATAATTCCCAACCCGCTAAGACAATTCCATAAATAATGGGCCCGCGACAAGTTTATGCTCGCGTGCGTCCCGCCAATGAATTCCCGAGCCGTTGGATATATTTTCCCCCTCCTCTCGTTGCCGGGAATCCGGCGCCGTTTAACGCCGCTCTGGCAAAATCCGGTTTTTCATCCTGCAGCCCTGACGAGAAACGCGAATCCTTGGAGCTCCTTCGCCAGGAGACGCGTCCTTCCCTGGCGAAGCATCGGGACGACCTCCGTTTCTGATAAGAAGCGGATGCGAGTACTAATTCACTCTTGGACGTCGGATTAATCACTTCGCCACTCCACCGAAAGAGTCTTAATTTAATCAATCCATTTAACCAGGGTGTCCTAAACGACTCGTAACGTTTATCCTTACCCGCTGGGTTTTTGGCTAGCCGGAGAAATTTTGATAAGGGACCCATTTGTCCATTTATCGCCACGGTGGAATGGCTCGGAGAGTGGCGTTACACCCTGGCGGGGATTATTGCTGGTGCAATGGTGCTCTCAATGATCCAGTTACGTTCCTTTTCCTTTTTTTTTCCCCCCTTGGGTTGATTTTTCTCCGGGGCTCGAGGAAAGGACTCGGACAATGCTTCCGGGTCGGCGGGGGCGAGTTAACTCGGTCTTTGTCGGCTGGTACTCAGTTTTAATTACGGGAGAGCAAACAGAGCGGCATCTGCCTTTATCTCCGAGGCCCTACCAAATTACGCGAACAGATGTCCAATGAGTCGTGCCACGCCGTAGGGTTTGCGCGGATTTGTTTGCCCGGCGCGTCTTCTCGTTGTCTCCCTTTATTTCGCGCCTAGTATTGTCCCGGGTCAGAGGGAACATGGCCGAACTCTGGCTAGCCCTAGGTTTCCGAATTAAACTTGATAACTCCACGGAAAAAAATTACACTTGCACTTTTAGCAAAAAAAACAGGGTCGATAAGGTGTGTCGCTCTTACGTATAGAAACCGTGAGATGCACCTGAGTCGCGCGTATGTACTTGGCGCGATACTCTGTCGAGTTTCTTGTCCTGTGGGAATCTCGCGATCATACCCATCTTCGATGTCAATGATCCATCGGGGTTGGCAGACCGTCTTCGAGTAACCATTGTCCATCAATGGAGGGCCCAACCGGAGGAGAGACGTCCTGGAGAATCCATGGGGCTATTTTTCATTCCGTCTCGTCATCGGCCTCGGAAGTGCCGTCAGTTTCGATCTCCGCGACTCCGAGGATATCTCGTTAAGAGTCCATCAATATCCGCGTGATTGACGTCCCTGTGTCATCGGTGGAGGCGCGCGTCTGGGAAGGGACCGTTTATTATTAATGCCGCAAATTCGAATGGTCCTCGCGATTATGGCCTCCCCCTGGGGTTACAGGTAAAAAAGAGAAACACAAGAGAGTTAGGATGATTATCGGTCTTGGCAAATAATCATTGATTATCGTCGCTGGGAAGGAAATAGGTTATGCTTTGGACTTGCTGGAGGCGAAAGTACTCAATGTCGCAATTGCACTTTCTGTTGCAGGCATGGCTGGAGGGATGGGACAGGCAGGGATGGGGTCATACTATGGACCTGCAGCAGCTTATGGGTCTCTGTCGGCAGCCAGCATGGCTGCAGCTGCAGCTGCAGCAGCGCAGCAATCCGCAGCAGCGATGTCAGCCGGACTAGGAGCTCCTGCACAGGTGAGTTTGGCCGAAAAGATTTTTCCGCGGTAATTGTTCAACGTGAATCTTCAATATTTCGGAAATTCACAGACAGAGAAAATATGCAAATTGCTCATTTCTCTCCTGATTTCCCCTGGACCCGATCTGCCTATCTCGCCGTTGATCAGCTTGATCGCCGAATATCTCGGAAACTCGCGGAGTTAGGGAATCGTTGAAAGGAGGTTTTCTCCCCGATTTTTGACGAGGAATGCGACAAGATAGGATTTTTCGATCTCGGTCTTGCCGATTAGGATGGCCGACCTCTCTCGCGGCCACTTTGCGCGCTTCTTCTCGGTCCCGGAGAAACGGGTCTTCCAAATTAACTCGTGCCACGTCATCGCCTTCGTCTATTTTCTCCCGGCACACAAAACGCGGGAAGCGAGGAGGATGAAAGGGAACCCTAACCCCGGGGAACATCTCCTGGGCGAACGACAGGTGCCTCCTCTCCCCTCTCTCTCTCTCTTTCGGCTTTTAATCCCACGGAGATCGGCCAGGCCGAGCTGCGAATTCGCCGCGCGGTACCTCGGCCCTAAGAATTCCGCAACCGTCCCTGGTAGCCAGTCCGCGGTCTCTTTTATTCTCCTTCTCCCTCCCTTTTCCCGAATACCGAGATGGCATCCTTCCCGAAGTGACATTCCCCCAAAATGGAGAGAAGTCGAAATTAATTAATAGTCTGGAACTTGCGTGAAGTGGTTCCTTTGAAATCTCGAGACCTCTCGCTTGCCTGACAAAAGTGACGTTGCCTCGGGATGGATGTCAAAATTAATATCCAAGAATTTTTCCTGAATCGCTCCTTCGAAACTTGAAGTCGCGGAATTTTTACGCGACATCCGGGGACGAGGGAGATCCAAGGATTTTCATTTCACTTTGAATTTTGACGCTTGACAAAACGCTCGGCAAGGATCGCGATAAGGTCGAGGATACGATTTTGGATAATGGCGGAAGGGCGTGCACGGTTTTCTATTTATTTTTTTTTTATTTTTTGGGGAACTCGCGAGATGACGCCGGGTGACAAGTCCAGGGGGGGGATTTCGGCGAGGACCGAGGAATAATCAATTGGACGTAGAGGGACGAACGAACGGCCGGAGAGCCAAGACTAGAGTAAATCATCGGGACAAAGCCGCTTAACGACCCGACAAAGGCCCCGCGGCCTCGCACCATGAATTATAGAATTAGGAATATGCCGTGGCTCGCGTACTTTTCTTGTTTCTGCTCTCCCAAGGGACCCCATGGACCCCACGGACCCCCCGGGACCCCGGATTTATAGCCATTGGCACCTTTGTCCGCGAATAAGATCGCCCCTCCGCCGAAGACGGTCCTGCGACTGTTTTTTCTCCAATTTCGAAAATCGTCCTCGCCTCTTGCTACTTTTTCTATCCCCCTTTGGTCCTTTTTAATCCGCGGGGGATAAAACCTGGTGGCAATTTTTCTTCCCTTCGACGGGGTTTCGGGGACCCCCGTTTTCTTATTAAGTATTCATAAAATTCATTGAAACTCCTCGGAAGAAGATTACGATATCTTCTTCGTCGGCGTATTGATAAGTCCTTCGAGAGTCTCGGAACTCCTCGAGGGAAATATCTTCATCCAAATTTGGTGCGGATCGTTTCGTCGCGGCATCTTGTAGAGCCGCGACCAAGGCAATTACGGGAACCGATTTTATTTCCACCGAGGGGGGGGAATCGAAGGATAAGATAAAGAGAGGCTTAGGATATTCCTGGATGTCGCGTCGGCCTCGGGGAGCGCAAAGAGCTCAAAGAAGAAGGTGTCGGTAGCGGCCCCCCGTTTAACCTTCGATTATAATTAACGGCATGACTAAACGCGCTCCGGTAGCGGGCCGGATCGCAGCATGGGGCGCTTTAATTATCGCGAAGAAAGGCGCGATCTCTTCTCTTACCTTTTTAGTCCCGGTCCTGGGTCCGGGACTCGCAGGAGTTAGTCCTGGCGGCCCATAAAAGCCGGCCCCGAAAATGCGGCCCATCTGGGACGCATCCTCGAATATGAGAGACGACCAATAAACAAAAATAGTTTCACCTACCTGCGATATCCATATGCAAATACGGCGGCCCCTCGAAATTTCCGAAGGCCCCGCGGCGGAATAACGAGTCCGCGAGAGTTGTATTTTAATGTCCGAGATCGCGCCCAGAAGATATTCCCGATTAATCCGCGAGGGAAGTTATCCGGCGAGGATTGACCGGCAGTTTTGCCTCCGGGAAGTTAACATTGACTTTAACTATCAACTTGTCATTTTTGCATTTGCAGGTCGTCAGCTCGATGGACGCGATGAAGTACTCGATGGAGGCGGACAAGTACCGGGCAGCGTACATGCCGCCGAGCACCCTGGCCATGAGCATGTACTCGGATCCCAAGTACTTAGACTCGAGTCCCAAGTCCTACCTGGACCGCAGTTACCTGGATTCCGCAAAGGCGTACTTCGAGCAGTCGAAGCTGTACATGGACCAGAAACCGTCGATATCGGCGGACTATGGGAGACCAAGCTACGAGCCGAACAAGTTGTACGAAGAGTCCAGTCCGGGTGGAGGTGGAGGCGCCCCGACGAGGTCACCGGCTGCGGAGTCACCAGACGCCAGCAAGCAGGCCGAAAGAACGGAACAAGGCTCCTCCAGCGCTAGCTCGACCTCCACCTCGTCGGCAGCGAGTCCTGGAGTGTCCTTGCCGACGTATTACCCAGGACCTGTGCAGGCCAGCGGGCTCCTGGCCCCGCAGATGGGCCAGTACCCTGGCTACCAGACTGCCCCTGCCCCAGGAAACGAGTTTCGACGACCCCTCACCGTCATCTTCTGACCCGACAGAGCCTAGCTCTGAGCCATCCTCGAGGAGTATCGTTCGGCCTGATTGCTCCACGTGGGACCAGGTCGGAGTGGCTCGCTCGTGGACAGGTGAGGGCTCGATGGTCTCCTCGCACCCTGGTGGGATCGGCGGTGGCTAAGAGATCGGCTTCTCTTTCTCCCGAGAAGAGATGCCATCGGGATGGGCTGAAGAGTCGGAAGACCCCGTCAGCACCTGGAAGCCTTTCCTTGGAATTGGATAAACGGATACCAGGATCCTGGGACACCAGGTCCAGGTCCTGCCTCCTCGCCAGTACCTTTCGTTCCGATCCTCTCATCCTAACGCTACGTCCGATATTCATCTCCAGAGAGCTCGCCAGTGAGATATTCCAGGTTGATTTCAAAGGATGCCAGGGGTGCGACGAATCAATAGGTACGGAACTGTTTTTACATTTGTCCTTCCGTTCCAGCAGGATTTTATTTTTATTTTTACTTTCAACCTGTACGTCAAAGAGATCCTACGTCCTGTTCGCGTCCCACGTTGCGGTCGTCGAATCCTTCCATTGGACCATTGACACCCAGCTGCAGACATCCGGTCATCTGTCTGAAAGGACCTTATATATGTTTCCTTGACAAACTCACCCGCAGTTTGTAATTGTCAATCACCAATTTTTTTTTTTTTACTTTATTTTCTAATTTGATTCCCTACTTTGGATAATGTCCTAGGAGGTCCTTATCGGACACATTGCGAGATCTCTGCAACTCTGGTGTATAAAATGGGTCTCTGGTCGGGGACAAACCGGGATCATTTTTTTATGGGACACTATGTGTGCCGAAGTATTTATTTCACAGGCCAGTACTTACTTAGCGGCTCGGAAAGGGTTATAAAAAAAAAAAATGTACATACTCTTCGTGTAAATAGCATAGTCGAAGGACCAGGACGCGTCGTAGAAGATGTCGAACCTCGAGATCGTCGAGGTGGATGGCGACTTTTTTTGTTATCGCGGACGCGCGTATATATGTATACATATACATAGTCTTGCTCGGTGTAAATAGATCTTACGTATACATATTACAGTTAGCTCTCGTTATGCATACCGTCGTTGTAAAAGGATCTCCCTGTCGATGAGGTGAAGTCGATCGGCGCGGCGCAGTACAGGAGTGCAATAAGGACACTTTTCCGCCCGGGCGGAAATTTGAGGAAATCTGACCATCCCATGTAACAACGAACATTGATCATTTATTGCCGTAATGGTCCGACATTACCTCGGGATGAAAATGCCATTGAACCGAAGAAAAATGTTTCTTTCTCGTTCCTCGCAACCCGCTGACGTTTTGGAAGGCTCGTTTTTATCATCTTATCAATCGACCTGAACTCTTAATTTCTTCTATTTAATTTCCACTTTCAAATGGAACATCCCAGGATCGGTAATTTGCGGACTTTTATTTTAGAACGCCAGGAGTTTGTTTTTATCCTTTTGACAACTTACGACGTAAATCGTCAATTTTTTTTTTTTTAGAGATTGTTTCTTGTTGTTGGATGTTTTGTTTGTTCGATGATCGGGTCCACTGCGCCGTCTCGCTGTATATTGTATTATACAGAAGTCGAGGGTAGGATAAGAGCGTCTCGTTAACCTTCCAAGATCCCATGGACCACCTTCGGATCTCCTAGGGATTTAATGTCGATCCATGGGGAACGTGGCTCACATCGAGCCTCGTTTTACGGCGTGTGTAACCTTTCTACTTGTATCGTTACGATATGCATTAACTTTAAACGGTTATTCGAATATCGCACACAGACACGCGGACACGCACACAGACACACACACACACGTTACATACGAAAGATATATCTATAAATATTGTACCGTAAGTGGAGATTCAAATAAAAATTAAGTATTATCCTTCGAAACCCGAGTCGGTGTTCTGTGGGAGAAAATGTGTCCTCAGAGGAGTGTTTGATATGCATGGGTGTCTTATCGGTTGTTTCAGGGTGGACGAGACTAAAAAGCGGACTCTAATGCCGAACATCGATTTTTAATTTTTTTACGACGTCTTCCGACACTGAAAGTAACGTGTAAGTACGCGTTCAAGACCTGGGTGTACACAGTGTGTGCACCGGATTGGGTGAAACGCGAAGGCCCGCTTTAACGCATTTAACGACACATTGTGGAGGGTCAAGGGTGTTTTCGTTAATGCATGCAAATGCCTCGGACAAATGATCGGGTCGTTTTGTCGCGTCGGCCGATGGACAAATGTCTCTTGCCACGAGTGGAGGGCACAAAAGGGTTTTCGGGATATTTCCTACGGATGTTCCCGGGCGGCGCGGGAAGAGGGGACCCCCTTTGTATAGGGAAACCTAAAGAGTCGAATTCCTTCGGCCTGGGAATATTTCTACGAGCGGAACAATCCTGAAATACGACAACCCGCCCTCGCGAGGTAATATTTCGAGCTTCCGTGGACCTCTTTGTGATCAGCTGCAGCTGCGATCTCGCGCCATTCGGTATTCGTGCCCGTGGACACCTAGGAAATCCCTAGAATCGTGTCCCTAGGGATTATATGTATATGTATGAAAAGCTCACTATAGGGAACTTTTCTCTCCTAGTTCTTTCATTTGTTCCTTGGTTACAGAAATGAGGTATGTAACGATTGAATTATGTTTCACTTTGTTGGACTGGCCACCTTCCGCTCTGGCGGCCATCTTGGAAGATCCTCTCGACGAGAGGCGCCTCGTATATAACGAGAATATCTTGGAAAAGGAATGCCGGCAATTAAAAGTGGAGTTCGAAGACCGACGCGGAGTCGGCGGCGATTAAAAGCCGTCGAAAGTTCCGCGTCTTGCGACTAGAGCATTCAGACTGGAAGGCGGCCCCTCGTAGGCTGATAAAAAGAGCATACGGTAGCTTGGCTTGGCTAACGATCGCCAACAATAACGGGGTGCTCGAGAACGGTGATTACCGACTTACGCACGCCTCTTGACAGGACAAACTGACAATTTTCACCGTCATTATCCTCTCGAGAGGCCGCCATTGTTTCTGATCTCTGAAGGGCTATTACGCTGCCACGCCACGTTCGTCCCGCCTTCCCATGTCTTCCCACGTCCTACGACGTCCACATAGCCCCACGTAATTTGCTTCAATTGCTTTACTACACTTCTTACTGTAACTCTCGATCATTGGCTTGGCTAAAAATCGGATTTTAGAATTTGTGTGGTATAATGGATCGATGCGGCGTCCTGTCGATTCTGGGAAAAGGTAACCCTGCAGGAGGGAGTTCCGTCGAAATTGCTCCGGGGTGTTGTTAGTTTATGTCATTTGACGAAGGAAGGAGTCGTCACCTTCTGTACCCCAGGAATTCCAGTAATTTCGAGGGTCCAGCTTGGTGAGTCCTCTCGAGGGACTCCATTAGCAACCGGGGTCTAAACCCATGGAATGCATGTCTACATGGGGTTTCCGATTAGTAGTCTTAATGAAAGTGCAGCTCCTGACGAACTCCCACTTTAGGATCGCCTATGTTCATTCCATAACCAGGGAAATAAAACCAGACTCTGTGAATCCTATTATTTTTATTCTCTGGTTACACGTATCAGCGTTACAAAGGTAGACTTGGAAGGATGTCTCCATGCTTTTCGTTGGTCTTGGGGCGAGTGTTTTTCTAATATAAACTAGTAGAAGGGGCGTGCCGAGGGGGAAGGAGTTTTTACGCCGTCGCGTTTGTTGGATCTCAAGTCAGCTTGTTAAAAAAAGTCCGGCTTGATGGGAATTGCCGAGCGGGCAGATGATTGAGGGGTTTTGTCGCCATTTGTCGGCGACGTCCTCCGATTTCCGGTCTATCGGGCGTCTTTGCAGGAGCTCGCACGTTTAAATTCCTACAATGGAATTACTCGTACGTCGACGTCGCGCATGTACGACTTGTTTATCCGCATTGAGAGCCGCTCTTGCGACAACCCCTCCGCCTTAATTGCGGGGCATTCCCCGATAAGTATGGGTTTTCCTAAACTCGACGAGCCCTTCCAGCAAAAAGATCCCGGCGGACTTCAATTACGTAGAATGAGTCGCGCCTCTTGTCAGCCCGACACTTTGGAGCCGTTTAAAGGTAGTAACGTGGCTTTGTTTAACGCGCCTGCCGTAGCTGAATTTCCATCCGAGGAATTTATTCAAAAGGATGGACAGAAATGCGCTCCCTTAAACACGGCATACACACAAATTATGAGCCCAGGAAGGAAGGCACTCGTTTCAATGCCCCTTGTAAATCGCGAAAATCAGGAAACTCGACAGAGTTTCGCGCCAAGTACATTAAAAGTGCACCGAATGCTTAACGCCAATTTCCGGTACTTCTATTAAATGATATCACTATTTTTTAAGATTTGTTGCAATGGAAACGTCATTTAATCTAAGATATGCTAAGATAAAAAAATGTCATCTAACCAAAGAAACGATGCGTCTTCATTATTGGGACATTTAAAGTAAGGGGATATTGAAGTTTATAAGGTTTAACTGCAATTGAACTTTGTCGTTTAGTCAAATTGTAGAGTGAACGTTTCATTGGAAGTCTGGTACGATGGCATTTTTCCCGGACTGCTTTGCCACGTTTCATCGACAAATTAATGTCCCTCGGAGATGGAACGAGGCACGAGGGACCGTTTCTCCGAGAAGAGGAATACATATTTCAAGGATAATACACCTCTGTTACCAGGAACTCCGGAGAGCGGTTTCGGTATGCAAATTAGCCGCTGCTCCATTCATACCGACATTGACATCGACGCACCTGGTCGTGGCCTCCCGCGGGAGAAATCCATGCTCACGTGGACACACTAGCTTTCAGCTATTTTCCCCGTTTACAGGAGTATTAATAATGACGGGTTAGGACCGAATGAGAAACGGTAACGTAACTGGCCGGCGAGAAAAAATGAGGGGGTAAACCGGCCAGGAAATCTTGGAAAGTAATCCCGAGGAGTAACTTTACTATCCCGTGATAAGGGACTATCGGATGGTCCGGTAACTCGTGATAAAAAGGACTTTGTCGCGGTTTATTATTATCGGCCGTGCTTCCCCCACGTCGCGTTTTAACACCTCCCTTGCCTTACCGTAACTCATACCGAACTCGTACGCCACAATGTAATTTATAATGCGATTCATTACGGCCGAACGAGAAATTTATTTCGAGGAGGAACATCCTCCTGTAAATTATACCGCTGTCCCTTTTCCGCAAAGGATCGACGCGAGGACTTCCTTTAATCCTCGCGCGAGTTGCTTCGGAAGCTGGTGTCCCCCTTTTTTCTTTTTTTTTATTTACCGCTTCTAAGGACGTACTTCAGGCCGATCCGTTGTTCAATATGAAAACAAAGGTTGTTAAAGTGCAACGTAATAATTGTAGAGAATTTTTTTGCTTGTTTGGGGGTTACTTGATTTTTTTTTTCGAATCCTGACAACGCTCTCGAGGGTGTTTCAACGAGAAGTTATCCGTGAAAGTGCGAGTACTTGGATCGAGTCCCGGATTACACGGTCCCCGGGGACGTTGACAAGTTTACAAGTTCGAAGTCCCGGTGGAAACGTTTTGAGGACTTGGGTGGGTAGCTTCCAAGTTGGACGTAGCCAGTTCCGCTTGTACAGCTCGAAGAACTTTTACTTCATCTCCGACTGTTCCTTCGAGCGACTCTGCTCTTTTCGGCCACTTTCCGGAGTTATTTACGAGTGAGCAACACCGCCGTAATTGTCGGGTTATTTGGACGAGATCCATTTGTCGGGGGACGCGGAAGGGCCTGCCAAGAAACGGATACGCAAATCCATACGACGCGACCTAGCTTGTTGCAACATTGTTGTAGCGCCGTTTTTGAGCGATATAATTCCTTGCAAAACTGTTCTAGGATCATTTCGTGGCACCTTAGTCCGTTGCAATGCCGTTGTACCGTCGTTACAACGACTTAAGTGGCGTTAAAGTGCCTTTACAACATCGTAAAAACACGGTTAAAAGTCTCATTAAAGCGTGGGAGGTATAAACCATACATCTCACGGTTAGGATAAACCGCCCGAAGGCTTAAAAAATATTCTGGAATAATTTCGCTCGTCGGATTAATTATTGGAAATAATTTACGGCGTCGATTTTGGATTTATCGTCCCGAAGTTGGGAAGCGTCGTCGATGGGCAAAGCGATCGTTTGTGGAAAACGAGCCCAGCTCGAAGCTTTCGCTGGCCATATATGGCCGGTTCCACACACGTCATACGTATTAATATGCGAGAAGGTGTTAGTAGGGGACCTGCTGCATTGTGCAGCTGCATTCCTCGGACCCCTTCGTCTCTCTTTCTCTCTCTCTCTTCCCTCGGCACGCCCTGAATCCATACAACGCGAACGACAACGGCAACCTTACGCGCGTTTCTCTTCGCCGAGGGATATTTCGAATAATGCTCACGTAGAGAAACTCGAAGAAAAATTAAAAACCCACCGTTGCT